GAGCGGGACTGGGACCGCGACCACCGCCGGGGGCAGAAGCTTAAGTCGTGTGAGCCTGGGCAATGCCAGCCTTCTACAGGGAGGCATCGCCGTTGCCCCTGTGGCTGGCACCCCACTGTTGAGTAGCTGGTCCCTGAGCTTGCTTCCTTATGGTCCCCAGGCCTTGCTCAGATAAGAGGCTTGCCCAAAAGGGACACTTGACTGCACGTGAAGCTTTGTTTAAAAGTCAAGTTTATTAAGGCTTGCGTTACATACAATAAAGTACAACAGGATGCGTTCTGACAAGTGCATACGGTCCTGGATCCATCATTAGTCCAGATAAAATATTTCCATTATCCCCAAAAGTCCCATCAGGTCTGGTCCCTTTGCAACTAGTCTTCTTTCCCACCAGCAGGGATACAATAGGTAATGAATAGGAACTACTGGGTAGTGAATTCTAATAGCCAATAAGTAGAACTCAGTCCAAGTACCACCAGGAAAACAGTCATCTAATACACCAAACATAAAATAATGAAAAAATAATAATAATAAAGCAGTTACCAATAGGGGCATGCCAGCGACCTTGCAGTAGTAGTGGGAATGTTTTTTAAGTTGTTTTTGTAGATTTTTGCAATAGGGCAGTGCACTTGCTGAAAAGAGACAGAAAGCAAATCACCCCTTGGGGGATGACCATGCTGTAATCCCTTATCCATTCTTCCCTTGGGATCTTAGCCAAGTGCTGGACATCAGTTTTAAGCCACTGGGCCCGGGACTTGCACTGTAGTAGAGTACATGGGAGTCCAGCAACATAACCATTATACCATCCATCTGCTGGTCCCATTTTTTAAGTTGTTATTCCCAATTCTGAGTCTTGCCACTTTCTTAGCTGGACCCAACATCCATGGAATTTCATCAGTTATTTTCATCCTTTATGGGAGTGAAATCCCAAACATGGCTCTTCATAACAGAGAAAGTTTTGCACAACTGTACTCTTTAGGCCCATCACAGATTTATCGAAAATTCCAAGACTCTTAGGAAAGACTCCTTAAGCAAAAAACCCAAACCAAAACAAAGCACACAAAAACTTTGGTTATGTTTAACTTCTGAAGAGTGCTATTTTTTGCTAACTGACAGGAATGAATTATATGGATTTGTTCTACTCTCCCCTGTTCACTACTCAATCTCTCTAGATACCGAAATTTAACAAATCAATCTCCCAAAATATGTTTTCTACTGTATTTGAAATACTTTATTGCTGTCTCAACATATTTATACCAGGCTACTTACTCTTACTCTACACTGAAAAAAGTAAACACATTTACATAAAAGGGTAGCCTTAACTGAGAATGCAGTAGAATGCTTACAATAGTTGTGATCCAAATGAAGGCACTGTCCTGTGACATTTAAAATTCAGGCAACTTTATTTAAATTGAGAAGCAATTCTTAAAACTGTATTTAGTCAAGACCCTTGTTATAAAACCATTAGTATTTCTAAGTAAGGCAGGTTTATTTCTAGGTTAACAAGACTAGATACCACTTTGGATTTTATGCTTTAAACAAACTGTAGAGAACAGAGAAGAAAAATAGGCTATTTACAAAAAACAGTATCTACAAATGTACTCGGAAGTATAAATTTGGTGACAAAAGAACTCAGTACTTGCTGGCATCTCAGAAGCAATTCTCAAAGAGCTTAGCTTTATTTTCTTGAATCTTAAGAATGTCTAAGATCCTTCTTCATCCTCGATCTTGGGAGCCAAATAGTACTTTAAATGTCCCATATCAGCAATTTTATACTCTACAACTGGAAGATAGGAAGATAGTTAATTACTGAGGAATATCACACACACTATCTACTAAGACGTGTTTCAGACTTATTATCTTACCAAGGGGTACATCCGCTGACATGCTGAGTGTCACTGTAGGAGAGAGTGGAGTAGCTTTTGTAAAGAAGTTCAGGTACCTCAGTGCAAAAGTTAGTTGAACTGGCTCGTTCATTTCTATGGAAACCTACAGAAGCAAATAAAAGATCATATTGAAAACAGCAGGAAAGTTACAATCTATTCGTTCATAAAATACACTTAAAAATTTATTAGACACTTTGAAAAGTGCCATAAAACTGACTATGAAGACTGACAAATCAATGGAACCAAGTATTTATCCTGTTTCTGCTATATTAACTGTACCTTAGGTAACTGAAGTACATAGTATTGGAAAACCTCTTTAGGGAGGTTCTTTTTTTTTCTGGAGAGGTTTTTGCTATAGGGCATATGCGTCCACCAGAAAGAGACAGAAAGCGAGAAATCACCCCTCAGGGGGGATGGCCATACCGCAATCCCTTCTCCTCCATTCTCCTCTTGGGATCTTGGGCAGGCACCCACACAAGCCCAGTGTTGAGTTTAAGCCTCCGGGACTAGAACCACAGTTGACTACATGGGAGTCCAGCGACATAGCCATTATGCCAACTGCTGGCCCGGGAAACATTTCTAATAAATTACAAAAAAAATACATTAATCTAGGGACCAGCAGATGGTGTAGAGGTTACACCGCTGGACTCCCACATGGCTGACCACACTTCCAGTCCCAAACCGTTGGCTTGAAACTCACAACAGTCACATGTGCACTGGCCTAAGATCCAAAGAGAAGAATGGATTGTAGCATGGCCATTACCCCTTGGGGATAACGTGTCACTTTCCCTCTCACTATCTTTCTCTCTAGCAAATGCACACACCCTAAAGCAAAAACAAACAAACAAACAAACAAAACCCTCAAAACAAAAACAAACAAAAAACAAAACCCCAAACAAAAACATGTTTCATTTCTGCAAACCCTAATGACTAAATGGATCTAGATGCTGACTACCGTGGTTGCTGACATTGCAAACATCCAGACACCTGTGCCTCCTACATGAAGTACTGGGTTGTCAGAAAAATCATGATAAATTTTCACATAAAAAACAGTGTGTTGGGGATTAACAGGTGGCATAGTGGTTATGGCGCTGAACACTCCCACATGGCCAACCAGGGTTCGAGTTCTCAATCTGGTGGCTTGCTTTCTCACTTCCTCTCTCACTCTTAACCTATCTATCCCTCGTCAAATTAAAAAATAAATGAATGAATAAATAAAATAACATAAATAATATTTTTTTTTAAAAAAAAGGTATGTCATGACTTTTCTAACAACCCAATATATACCACCTATAAAGCATTCTTAGTCTCCCAATCCCCCAAACAAGAAAACACTCTGAATATTAGCCAAGCCTCAGGCTATAGCTATCAGTTCACAGGAAATACAGGGTAAAGGAACATGTTAATCAACACATAGGGATGCATATGCCATCAGCAAAATCTACATCCTGGAAAATGTGAGGGCATATTATCTCATTTCAACAGACTGCAAAATAAACTGAAGAAGGAACCAGTAGGTTGAAAATTAAAAAGCATAACAACCGATTTCAATGTATGGATTTAAGAGGTCCTCACATTTGACTATGGCTACCTTGCTAGGCCTGTTTCTCAGCCTCTTCTAACAACTGGCTCTTCAAAATATAAAGTTAACATAAGGGTTACATGAATAGCAAATTAACAGGTACACTCACCCCTAACGATAACCGTATGTTGAGCTGCTAGCCTGTAATCAGTTATCTGCTGGAAACAGAGTATCTCCAGAAAGTTCAAGGTGAGACAGCTTCCTAATCCTATCCTTAATAGTAAGTGGGAGGCCGGCAGGTGGTGTGATGGTTAAGGGCACTGGACTCCCACTATGACTGACCACAGTTCAAATCCCAAACCTGGCGGCTTGCTTTCTCACTTTCCCTCTCTGGTCAAATTTAAATAAGTAAAAGTTAAATTAAAAACTTAAATAAAAATAGTTAAACAAAATAATTCTTTAAGGAAAAAAATGTGGGTTTCACAAAGCCACCTCTGTTTTATAACAGTACTTAATTAACATTCTCTTCTCACAGAATTCTAAGTTAGATGATGCTTATAAATCATTTGTAGGTTTCAACAGTTATCTTCCAATGTTTAAAAATTAGTTGGAATGCAGTTTTCTGTTTTCCTAGTTTTCTTTAATTTTAGAATTAATCTCATGTGGGGCCAGCAGATGGTGTAGTGGTTACATTGCTGGACTCCCACACGGCCCAACCTGGGTTCGAGTCCCAGACCCAGTGGCTTGAAAACCACGCTGGTAGGACCAGCAGTTAGTGTAATGGCTATGTCACTGGACTCCCACGTAGTCGACCACGGTTCGAGTCCCGGATTCAGTGGCTTAAACTCACGCCAGGCGTGTGTGTGTGCATGCCCAAGATCCCGAGAGGAGAATGGAGGAGAAGGGATTGCGGCATAGCATGGCCATCCCCAGGGTGTGTGTGTGTGTGTGTGTGATTTCTCGCTTTCTGTCTCTCTCTGGCGAGCACACGCGCCCTTTAGCAAAAACCTCTCAAAAAAAAGGAAAAAAAAAAAAAAAAAACCCAAAAAAACAAAAAAAACACAAAAAAACATGCTGGTGTGTGAACATGCCCCAAATCCCAGGAGGACAACGGAGAAAGGATCATGGCATGGTCGTCCTCCTTGGAGAGGTGACGTCTCTTTTTCCCTCTTACTGTCTCTGTCCTTCTTTCTGGTGACAGTACATGCCCTGTGGCAAAAACCACTTTTTAAAAAAGTATGAGCCAAATGTGAAGCAGTGCTATAATTTTCATCAAAATAGTTTCTAATTAAAAACTTACAGCTTCCTCCTCTTTATCAACATTGCTTGTTTGTGACAACTTAATGTTTCCATTTCCAAGTTCTCCACTCGCAGAAAATTTCACTCCATCTTTTGCACAGGAAATCACAACAGCGTCTCCAATATGACTGAGATCTCGGCATATGCGTGCGAATTCTCCAGAAGGCATTTTTACTACACAGCTGTACTCTTGTTCCTATGAAATAAGATTTAAAGGTTACTTGCTGGAAATTTAAGGATTTAGCACACTTACTTTCTTAGCATCAAGACAACAGGGGGCTGGTAGGTGGCATGGTGAATGAGGTGCAGGACTCCCACATGGCCAACCATGGTTTGAGTCCCGGACCTGGTGGCTTGCTTTCTCACTTTCCCTCTCCTCTTTCTCTCTCTAGTCAAATTAAAATAACAGAAAACAGGTAGAAAACAATGTCATAAGAATGATTATACCAACAAAACAAATCAAAATTTAAATCTTTAACATTACATGTGCTATTCAGAGAAGAGCCTCTACTTAATCATCTTCCAGGGCCCAATCAAAAGAACATTAGAGTAGGCGGCAGCAGGTGGCGTGGTGAAGGCGCTGGACTTCCACATAACCGACTGCGGTTTGAGTGCCAGACCCGGTGGTTTGCTTTCTTTCTCATTTCCTCGCTCTCTCTCTCTCTGGTGAGTGCATGTGCACTATAGCAAATTAAAAATATAATAAAATAAAATTAAATGAATATTCTTTAAAAACAAATTAGAGTAAGGTAAAAATGATGACGACCCAGGTTCAACTCCTGTTCTAACATCAAGGATAAGTACAGTGGTGTGTATGAGTCTGTAATCTCAGCAACTCAGGGAGGCTGAGGCAGGAGTATTGGGACATGGTGAGATACTGTCTCAAAAAGGCAGTGCAAACAGGTCTAACTGCTTGCTTTCTCACTTCCTTCCCTTAAGGTTTAAAAAGCTTATTTAATAATTTCTTCACACAAAGACACCCCCCACCCAGCCATCCCTGACAGGTCTTGCCATTAGCCACCTCCTAGCTAGCCATGACCACAGGCATATGGGCAAACCCAGAATGTTCTGGTCAATCTGAGATTTAAGCCTGGGTCTCTCGTGTGGCCCCTAGCATCACACAGTGGTGCCTTACCACTTATGCCACCACAATTGGGAAAAGCCTAACTGCTTTCTAAAAGAGAAGAGAACATTACACATTTTAAATATCTCAACATCTTTTAATATTGATAAGCCTAATCTTAAGAAATGTCTTCTAACACAGATTTAAAACCTATTAAAAATCAAGTATCTCGGGGAAACAAGAAAAAAGAATGCACAGAGGTTAATGAAAACAAGCACCTGGCAGCTTATTTAACCAATGATGAATTCAAGATAAACTGTGGTTTAAATATAAGCCTATCAGTCCAAGTACCAAAACTTCACTCTGGAACATGAATCAGCAGAGTCTAGAAAAATTACTAGAAATTAGAGTTAAAATTACATTATATTAATTTACCTTGCATGACTATCATCACTGTGTATAGTACAATCAGAAACTTGATACTCACTGGAATTCCAAGTTGTTCAACATCTAAATCCATTAACTTCATTTCATAGTCCGAAACTTTCTCCTGATCTACCAAAAGAAAACAAATGTTGGGGAAAAAAAACCATATCAGTTTTTAGCTATGTTTTACAACCATCACAAACATCATAAAATTTTCACAGCTTTGGGAAACACTGGCATGGCATTTTAATTTTCTGTAGCTTAAGGCAGTAAAAGAGTACAACTCACTTGGTGCTTCAAATACTAGTGCCAGGGTGTCCGCATTATCTTCAGCTCTCAGTGTAATGATGTCTTCATTGCCAGCACATTTTAGAATTTTGGACATGCTAGAATACAGAAGGCATGGGATTTAAATCAACATCAACTGCTCAAGATTTAGATTTCTAATGCAATTAGGAATTACCATGGGAGACCAGCAGGTGAAATGGTGGTTGAGGCACTGGACGCTCCCACATGGCTGACCAGGGTTCAAGTCCCAGACCTAGTGGTTTGCTTTCTCACTTTCTCCCTCTCTCTCTCTCGTCAAACTGAAATAAATGAATGAATAAATGAAATTTAAAAATCTTAAAAAAAAAAAAAAAAAAAAAGACTTCCCATGATCCCCCCCCAGCCTGTCTGACACACCGGTCAGGAAACATATGGCTGGAAAATTTATATATACTGTTCAGCCATTCTGGAATGCAACCTGGCAGTATTTACACTTAAACATCCTACTACAGGGGCTCGTAGGCAGCATGTTAAGGCACTGGACTCCCACATGGCTGACCATGGTTCAAGCCTTGGACCTGACAGCTTTCTCTCTCTCCCTGTGTCTCTATCTCTCCCAGGTCAAACTGATGAACAATAATAATAATAATAAGTAAAATAAATAATCCTTAAAACAGAAACACCCTACCACCAGCAATTTCACTTGTGGGTACTGTAAAGGTAAAACCACAGCAAATTTAGAGGTCTTAATTACTTTTACTTGTGATTTTAGAATTGGGCAACACCTTATTCTATAAAACAGAAGTGCTCCAGATAATTGAAGAGAGGAAGCTGGGTTTATAGATACAAGGTACAAAGAACAAAATGTGAACTGGTTGTTTCAGTTACTTTTCTTGTAAAGGTTAGAGTAAAGGGATCTGCCTCAAGCTGGCTAACACCCCATTTAGGAACGTGGCTCTCTGATCTCTTTGGAAGCCTGATAAACAATTTAGTTTGGGTGCAAAAGTTCACAAATTGCCTTCTGTAAGTTCTATTTAAACCACAAATAAAAGAGTACTCTTTTGGGACCAGCAGAAGGCATAATGGTTACATCCCTGGACTTTCATGTTGTCAACCATTATTTGAGTCCCTGACCTGGTGGCTTAAAACTCACACCAGGTGCGTGTATCTGCGTTCCTAAAATTCTGAGTGGAAAATACAGAAGGGATTGCAGCGTGGTCGTCCCCTGGGGGGTGATTTCTTGCTTTCTGTCTCTTGCTCCCAGGAGCGCACAGGCTATAACAAAACTCTTAAAAAAGGCACTGTTTTCTCAACTGCAAATAACTAACGTTGGTGTGAAGTTAATTATTGGGCCTCGTCGTTAAAAACTATCTAACTTATTAAAACACACAGCGTGTAGTATAAATATCTCTCTCAAAGTTTCTAAAAGCATATATATTCACTAGCTAGATAGCGGTCAGAATGCTGAAAGTCAATGTCCTGAGGACTTTTCCCCAAAAGAACCTCAAGACGTTCCATTGCGACTACGAAATAAAGACCAAGGGGATAAAAAACTGTCTCTAGTAGTCTCTAAGCGGTTAAAGCCAGCAAAAATTCTCATGCGAAGCTGCCAGCATTTAAAGAGCAAAGAGTTCTGGAAGTCTCTTTCGAGCATAGCAGAGAAACCAGTCATTTTC